TAGCAAAATGCAATAATGCGACAAAGCTCGACAAAGTGAGAAGCGAAAACGCCTCCCTCCTCCATTTGAACACTTCCACAACCCACTTTCAGAAAAGAGCACTTATACCGCACGCAGATAAACGTACACTTTGCAATATTATATATTTACATGTGCGCAAATTAAACATTTCCAAAAAATCAAAAAAGGAAAAAAATCGTCCAAAACGCTCACCATAAAATTGGGATACATCGTATAATACGCCTTTATATACTCTTCTTTTTTTACTGAGAAATATTTTTTTTTTCTTCTTTTACCCATCCTTTTGACATACATATACGTTTTAAAATATACCAAAGAGATTTATTTTATTTCATTTTATTTTTATTTTATTTTCACTCATTTAAAATACACACACGCATCAGCACTTATAGCAATATACTGACTCGTATACTAATTATATACGCATACGTTTTTTTTTTCTCTCTTTTTGCTTAACTAAACTTATTTACTTGAAAAAATGGCACGAACAAAACAAACGGCAAGGAAATCAACCGCCGGTAAGGCCCCCAGGAAGCAGTTAGCCTCCAAGGCTGCGAGAAAGTCAGCTCCCATGTCTGCGGGTATTAAAAAACCCCACAGATATAGACCAGGAACTGTCGCCTTGAGAGAAATTAGAAGATACCAAAAGTCCACTGACCTTTTAATTAGAAAATTGCCATTCCAGAGATTGGTCAGAGAAATTGCACAGGACTACAAAACCGACTTGCGATTTCAGTCATCTGCAGTCATGGCTCTCCAAGAAGCAGCGGAAGCCTACTTAGTAGGACTCTTCGAAGATACCAACTTGTGTGCCATTCACGCCAAGAGAGTCACCATCATGCCAAAGGATATTCAGCTAGCCAGACGTATTCGTGGAGAAAGATCATAAGCGTGTGTACTCCGCTTAGATGACCACCACCACCACCCTGTGGTGTAGCACTCAAGAGATAAGCCCTCAAACCAGAACTGCTTTACTACTATATTGGTTTTATTTTTTTATAAAATGGGTACTCACCGACCATGTGTGTGTCTGCGTTGTCGGCGTCTGTAAGCGCGCTCGCGCGTTTATGCGCCCCCCTGTACGAGATCTACTCTTGTGGGTCCTCGTGCCAGAGGAAGGGGGGGCATCTCTGGTGAACCCCCGCATCCGCATCCCCCACACGTGTCCATTTATATAAACATATACATATGTGGGCACATCATCTGCATCCAATCCTGCTGCCCTTTTTTTTCTCATTATAGCATTCGTTTTACATGTACAATTTTAGTTTTTTTTTTTTTTCTTTTTTGCTAATTTTTAAGGCTTCACTAGAAGCCATTACCATAGCTGGGATAAACTTTAAAATTGGGAGCCCGCCTTTCGAGCCTGTTTCTCCCTTGGAAAAAAAAATAAAAAAGAAAGAAAAATACGCAGTTTGCACGTTCACTTATGTTGGTGAAAAAAAAAAAGTTTTTGGGAAATTTCTTCCCCTGTGCCCAGCGGTCAAACGGAAGCTGGTGATAAACGCCAGTGACGCTTTCGAAAAGTGAGCAAGTTGTATGCCGGTGCAACTGTTCGATGTCTCCCCGTCCCCCCAGAGTCTTCACACCATCACAGCTTACGTAGCAACGGATATTTCTTCAAATATTCCTTGACGGTCTCCTTATAATAGGGTTTCAGCGCCACAGCTGTTTGTATGTTTTCCGGCAACTCCGTCCAAATTTTATACTTCAAACATGCCTCCTCTAAAATGCTGCAAAGATTTTTTATTTCATTTGTGTCTTCGATCCGTAAGATGACCTTGTGCATGTTGTTTATTTTTTCCGCGCAGAGGTACTCCTTCACCACTTGGTCTTCCTGATTTTCGGCAATGACGGCAACGCTGTTACGGGTGGGGTGGGAGAAGCGTCTGCCATGTGTTTGCGCATTCATAAGCGAAGGCGTGCAGGTAAGTGGGCAACGGGCTAGGCATGGAGCCTTCCCTGTAGAACTCCCCAAGTACACATATTAGCAGCACAACAGACAAACAAGCATCCTCTCTAGCACTGAACAAACAGAGATACTTTTTTGAAACGCGCGGAAAAGGTTATCCCACTTGTGTGCAGAACTCACCACGCATGACATGCCTGGGCTATGACAGACCCCAGCGGCCATTTCTTATCCAATATTTCCTTGTTCACCAAAATGTACTGGACTATTGAGGTTTCCTGCATTGGATTCTATGCAAAGTTTGCTTTCGTTTTGTTTTGTTCTGTTTTGTTTTTCTCTGCTTTTTCTTCGCTTTCCTTTGCTTTCGTTTCCTTTTTTCTGTTTTTTATCCCTACTGCTTATATTTGCCTTTCGGATGGCAGAAGCGTCGAATGAGGAAAGCGCCAGCGGAGTGGTCCTGACCTGGAATGTCTGTAGGGGCCAAGCACGAGGTCTTTGGCTTACTGACCCGGTGATAGCTTTTTTGTGAATGGCCCCACGTAGCAGGTGAATTGCAAACACACAAAGAAAAAGAGGAGGGGGCGGAAAGGGAGGATTACTCTTCGCGTAGGCAGTTACGGAAGGAAAACAATCGAGGGTAGAACTGCTTCTCTTTTGTTAACATGTTTATACAAGTTTATGTGGGGAAGAAATAAAATCTGAACATGTCAGGCGATTTCTAACCCCGAAAAATTTACGTCGTTGCGAAAATGGGCAGGTAGAAAATGGGTTTGGCGTGTGCACACGGGTTCCTTGGTCAAAATTGTGTTGTTTTGTTGGAGAGTCTCTACTCAACGCGGTCTCTTTCTCCTTCGCTTTTTCCCATTTGCTCTACACAGAACGGGGAAGTGAAAGGTGCCAAGACTCAGGAGCCATATTAACCACACAAGCTGCTATTCCCAAAGTAGATGCGATCAGAACTCCTATTGGGAAGATACCACCTACCGCGGTGTTGTCAGTTTCGCCATGTAGCTTTTACGTTTAATTAATGTAGTCGTCCCATGTCAGTGGTGCAGGGCAGAGTCTGTAATCTCCCTTCTGCATAAGCCATAAGAATGGTCCGTTGGGTCATCCCCCGACATTGCTTCTCTCGTTTGCCTACTGGGATGACCCAATCATGTGTATGTTCGCATAAGCTCCCACTACACACAAACGTAGGTTTGCTTCTACAGCTCTGCTTGGGAAGCCGCTAAAGGTTCTATTTTTGTAACTACCCCCGATTCAAACCCCATGGGGGTAGGAAGAATGGAAAGAAAGGAAGAGAAGAAAGAAAGGAAGAGAAGAAAGAAGGAAGCACAGAAGGACAGAAGGAAGGAAGGGGAGGTGCAGGCCCCTCAAATGGTTCCAAAAAACCCTTTTGCGTCTTTCCCATTTCGTCACATGCGCCGTTTTCGCTACTTTTGAGCAACTTGGGTAAGGGAGATTCCACAACTCTAAAGAGGAAGAAGACGCGAACTGAGACCACGGTGGGTAGAGAAGCTCGTATGTTCTTTCCTCATGTGGGCCCCCCAGTTATTTCACGAAGACGTACCTTATGCACATTACTTTCTCTACATTTCTGCTAACTTGTCCGATAGGGAACTAGCATTGCCATCCCTTGGGGACTCTTATTTTTTTTAAAAAAAAGGGGGCTGTAAGAAAAAGGAGGGAAAATGGCAGCCACTCAGAGGAACGCCCCCAAGACGGTACGGAAAAATAATTTGCAAAAAATGCAAATGATGAAATTTTCTGACCTTCATAGTTACTCATAAGTGGGGTTCCACGTTGGAAGGAGCACTACAGTGATTCAATCTTATGGTAGAAATATGATCAGAAAAAAAAAAAAAAAAAGTAAAAGTAAAACTAAGAAGATCATCGTTCTGGTGAGATGTATCAGTTCACTTCAAAGAAAGGAGCTAAAATGTCAGTAGAACAAACGCGTTGTAAATTTGCTAACCCCATGCAAAATTCCCCCATCGAGATTTTCCTTGTCAGTCTTTTGTCTCAAGGTGGGTATGACCACCCTACGGGTTGGTCGTCGTGGATCTCCTTCCCTTTGACATTATCAGGCGAGAAAACCTCACAGTGGGGGGGAAGGACTACAGAGAGACACATCCGTGTAGAAGTCCCGCAGTACAAGAAGCGCATATGCTGATAAATGGGACGTTGTGCTTAGGAGTGTAAATTCTACACACTCGCCACCACTGTGTGTGTGTACCTCCCCACCTGGGTCACCAAAACAAGAACAACCAGTTTAGTACATATCAAAGTTGTACCTTCAAGTGGGAGAAAAATTTGGGCGAAATCTTTCCTCCAAAATGGGTGCTAATAGGTAACACCACGTGGGAAAACATTCTAGGAAGAACAGGTGGCAAATATGCCTCGCCTTGGGACGACCCCCTTCTACTTTACCAACGAGGCAAATAAACATGAACACGGAGGAATACGTATTTTACCCTCTGTTCAGGCTCTCTTCCCCCGCTGTTCTTATTCCTCATTCAATTTTCTTTCGTGTGCATTCCCATTGCTTCTGTTTTTTACTAAAATGGGTCATTACTATATGGGGGGGGAGCCCGTTCAAACGGAACAACAGGATTTATTACATATGTGCTGGCCTCACTCAGGTGAGCCCTCAGTGTTTTAAAAAGGAATCGAAAAAATGGGAACTCTGTATATTTTTCTTTATCCCTGTGCGTGGTGAGAAATGGGAACGGAATGTACAATTCTTCCAACCTCCGTCGTCACCGTGTCGGATGGCCCGCCTTTGGAACGCAGAAAAAATGTATACAACGTGAATTATCGAATGGGCCACGTCAATTTCGAGGAGTGAACCCCCATGCGTATGTAACAGTAAGATAAAAGAAAAATAATAAAATAAATAAAAGGAGAAACAAAAGGAGAAAAACTCGACGTGTTAAAAATGCGGCAAGTGTAGATAATCAAAAAGGAGAGAAGCAGAATGGTAACCTTTCGCTGAGTTAAATTGTATTCCCCGTGAGGACGTCCCACATTTTTTTTTTTTTTCAAAAATTGAAAGTTAAGCTTTTGCGTAACTACTGCTTTTCCTTTTCTTCTTCGTTTAAAATGCATACATTACGACGTACACTCGTCCACGGGAACAGCCAAAATGGTGAATAAGGATATCTGCTTACACGTACAAACAGATGCGTATGGATATTGACGCGCTTCGTACGTTTGCCGAACTGCCCCCTTTGCCACTCCACGCAACGTTTCCTGTATTCCCATTTTTCCAATTCTTCTACCAAGCGTGAGTGAAACTTTTATCATGGCTATGGGACATCATCTCATTACACAGTAAAACTGGAGCGTCCCACAACGAGGGGGGGGATGCAAAACATGCCATGCAACATACATGGGGTGTACGTGTATATGTGTGCTCAAATAAATGCAGTCCTGTACGGACATATTGTAAACACCTGTTGCATACAGGGGCTGCGCGTGCCCTGGCATTAAATACAAAAGCGTCAATCCAAACCGCTTCTTCTTCCATCCACTCTGCAGCATTATCGAAGTAAATTGCCTATCCGAAAACCACAGCAATATTTTGTACAAATGCTTGTCAAGCGATGAGTCTTTAAAGCAGAATGAAATGTACAAACGTGTGAACATATCGGGAAGTCTCATAAAAATGTAATGTGCGAAAGGGAATAAAAAATAAAAAAAAAGAGAAAGAGAAAGAGAGCGATCGAGGGAGCGATGGATGGAAAGGTAACAAAACTAAACGAAAGGAAAACCACATGGAAATTTCCTCCACGTCCCTTTTTTGCCACACTCCTGTTTAATTTTACTCGCCGTTTCCATGTGCTGCCCCTGTTGCTCGACTGCACAGCTGGGTGTATACCCACGTCGCCTGGAAACTCCCGGCATGTGCGGCGTAGTTATGCGTTCGACGTAGCCACATGCAGGGGCTATAAGTTTGTTTCCTTCCTTTCCTAATTGCTTCTTTATTTTCTTCTTTATTTGGTTCTTTATTTGCTTTTTTTCTGGCCTCTTCTTTTTTTTTTTTCTTTTTCTTGCCACGTGTACGGAAGTGCCATCTGCCAAGTGCACGGTGTACGAGACCTCAGCTCTACAAGCGCAAACCACCAAAGTACAAAAGAGTATCGTCGGTCCTACTTGCCTGTGCGTACATTTTGCGTCTAGTATGATATAGGCGTACGGCGCGGGGTTTTGCGCCGTTCAGTTTGTATTTTATTTTGCGTCATTGTGCGGCGCTTTGCTTCTCTTGGCATCGCTACTCTATGTTTCGCTTTGCTTCAGTTCGCTTCCTATTGCCTGACTGCACTTTGCTTGCCTTAATTTGCTTCTTTTCACCTGCTCCTGCAAGGTGTTTTTTCTATCTCTTTTTACTTTAACCATTTTTATGACTTTCCATTTTATTTTTTCTTTTCGTTTCCTCATACATTCTGCATTTGCCCCTACGGGGATGTGTAACGCAAGCGATACATTACGCAGAGCACTACGTCGGTATCTCGTATGCCGCGAGCAGGTGACGCGAAAAAAATTGACTACATGTTGCGTCATTTTTTGAAACGGGGAGAGCAAACCAAACCGCGCACGTATAGCGCCATTTGAGCTACACCACGTAAACACAGCACATATCTGTTTGGAAATTTTTTTAAATTCCCCCGATTATTTATTTCCGCAGAGAATTGCAGAGCAGCACGTGCGAGGACATAAGGTACAAATCAAAAAACATTTATGACTATTTGCATTTTTTTTTCAAAACCGTCGAAACGTTTGCCTGACGTGCGGTGAAAGGAATGCAGTCGGAAGGAGAAGCATCCAGGCACTTGAGGCATCCGAGCGGTCCAAATAGCCAAGCGGTAGAAACGGATTAGTTGTCGAGATACCCAAGCGGTCGAGACGGAGCGGTTGTCGAACAAACCAAGCGGTCGAGACGGAGCAGTTATCGAAATAGCAGAGCGGTCCAACTAGCCCAGTCGTCCAAGTGGCCAACCCCCCTTTCCGGCCGAGCATCGCCAGCACAATGAATGGAGAAATTGACCAGAAATGCATCAACGAAATTCGCATGCTGTCGGCGGAGCTGCCGTTGAAAGCTAATAGTGGGCACCAGGGAGCGCCCATCGGGTGTGCGCCCATAGCGCACATTCTGTGGGCCTACGTAATGAACTACTACAATGAGGACACGAACTGGATGAACCGGGACAGGTTTGTCCTCTCCAACGGGCACGCCAGTGCTCTCTTGTACACAATGCTATATTTAACCAAGCAAGGACTAACGATGGAAGATTTGAAGAATTTCAGGCAGCTGGAAAGTCTAACCCCAGGTCACCCAGAGAAACACATCACCAAAGGGGTGGAAGTAACAACGGGACCACTGGGACAAGGAGCATCAAACGCAGTTGGGATGGCCATCTGTGCACATAACTTAGCTGAGAAATACAACACAAAGGAGTTTCCCATTTTTGATAATTACATATATGCCATATGTGGTGATGGCTGCATGCAAGAGGGAGTATTCTGTGAAGCAGCTTCCCTTGCTGGACACCTCGGCCTAGGACGATTAATCCTTCTATATGATGACAACAAAATAACAATTGATGGGAACACCGATCTCTCATTTACCGAAAATATAGAGAAGAAATTTGAAGCGTTAAAATGGGAAGTTCGAAAAGTAGCAGATGGTAACACCGACTTTGAAGGCATATTGACGCAAATTGAGGAAGCGAAAAAAAACACGAAACAGCCGTCATTAATCATCGTGAAGACAGCTTGTGGGTACGGGACGAAGGTAGAGGGGACATGTAAATCTCACGGATTGGCATTAAAAGAAGAAGATTTAAAAAAAACGAAACTACTTTTTGGTTTAGACCCAGAGAAACAGTTCCACATTTCGGAGGAAGTAAAAAAGTTCTATGAAAATATCGTACAGAAGAAGAAAGAAAATTATCTCAAGTGGGAAAAAATGTTTTCCGATTTTACGATGCAGTACCCAGAGAAGGCACAAGAGATTGTCAGAAGATTCTCCAAGGAGCTTCCCCACAATTGGGCCCAAGTGTTACCAAAGTATACCACTGTGGATGTGCCTGGTGCGACTAGAAATCTGTCTGGAGTTGTCCTAAACTGTATTAATAAGATCCTACCCGAGTTGATTGGCGGAAGTGCTGACTTAACAGAGTCTAATTGCACCGCCTTGAAAGAAGAAAAAGACATCACCAGAGATTCCTTTGCAAATAAATACATACGGTATGGTGTAAGGGAACATGGGATGGTTGCAATCACCAATGGGATATATGCTTATGGAGGGTTTCAACCCTTCTGTGCAACTTTTCTCAATTTCTATACGTACGCATTTGGTGCGCTACGATTAGCCGCATTATCCCAGTATCACATTTTCTGTATAGCGACCCATGACTCAGTCGAATTGGGGGAAGATGGACCGACGCATCAACCTGTTGAGGTTTTGGCCTTACTTAGAGCGACTCCTAATCTGAATGTCATCAGACCAGCTGACGGGAATGAAGTGTCCGGTGCTTATTTGTGCCACTTTATGAACCCTAAAACTCCCACCGTTGTTGCCCTGTGCAGAAATAAAGTGCCCCATTTGAAGAACACCTCAGCGGAACAGGTACTAAAGGGGGCCTACATTCTGGAAGATTTCGAAAAGGCTACTGATAAGCAGAAGGTCATTTTGGCTGGATGCGGTTCGGAGCTGCATCTCTGCTTTGATGCGAAGAATATTCTAACCGAGAAGCACAATTTAAACGTCCGCATTGTCAGTTTCCCATCGTGGAATTTATTCAGACAGCAGTCGGAGGCGTACCAACACTCCGTGATGATGCACCACGATGCTAAGATTGTCAGATTCTACATAGAGCCTGCTTCCACCATCGGCTTCGACACCTACTTTAATGTCTACCTGGGCATCAACCAGTTTGGCTACTCGGCCCCGAAGAACAGAATATGGGAGCACCTGGGCTTCACCCCGGAGAATATCGTTTGCAAGGTGCTGGCCTTTATAAAGGCGCACATGCACCCATAGCGGTGGTTAGAACCCGTAGCAGCGGTAGAAGCCATGGCAGCGCGGACGCTACACGGAAGCAGAACCGGTGCACCCTTCGCGCAAGTGAGCCACCTTACCACATGCGGAAAATTGCGCCATGCAGTCCATCCCCCATATCATTTTATTTTTCAAAGTGCAAAAAATGCACAGTTCATTAACCCCACTTGAATTAACGCTTTCTTTTTAAAAAAAAAAAAGAAAAAAAAGAAAAGCTATCCATATTTGTTATGCTTGACATTACATAGAGCAGACGTGCATTCTTCCCCCCCATCCTGCTTTTAAGTAGTTACAAAAGTGGCCGAAAATGCCCTGCTACTTGCGCATGGGGGTGAATAGCTAAGAAAAAAATAAAACACTCAAAAACACTGTAGAACTATGTGTTAAAAGTATATTAAATGATAAAAAAAATAAAAGAGAGTAGAGTAGAATCATAAGCAAGCGTGCCATTTTGGATCGTGCCTTCTTGATGCTAGATTTCCAATATGCACTCTATTTTTTCACCAGTCCTTTCCGCTTAACGGTACTCTACAAGCTTCTCACCTTTCTGCCAAAGTCTATGCTATCGATGAAACTGTCTAATTTAATCACGTGGGCAGTCCACGGTGGGGGGGGGGGACCCTGGGAGGAAACTCCTAACGGTTAGCAGGCTAACATAGTAAAAGGGTTAACACCACGTACACGTAAAAAAGAAGAAGAAGAAGAAAAAAAGAAACGATAGCGAAACAATGTGTACAAATTGGGAGAGAAAAAGAATCGTGGTCTTTTGGAAGGTATGCATTCAATACACACAAATAGCAGCGTTGGAGTGGGTGGCCACTGGGCCTCACACGCGCATAGGCTTGCTGCGATCGCGCAGCGGACACGGGTGTGCGCTTTAACCCGTTTGGAACTGCACGTGGCTGCCCATGGGCTCCTCCCCATGAGTTGCTACCCTGGCGTGTTTGCCTCTCCATCACGGGAACTACCTTTTAAACAAAAAAACATGCCTCATGTGGTAGGTAAATACGCCCTGGGCGGTATTCACCTGGACGTTATCATTCTGCATATCCAGAACAGCTCCCTCCACGACCTTGTCCTCATCCACGACGAGCACTTGGTCGTTTATTTTGTTTGGCTTCAAAGGAATCACAGCATCGGACACGATGCTAAAGGACGCTTTCTCGGTTGCTATTTTTAGTATGGTATACAAGCTCTTCTTCATCACATCTGTGACTGTCCCAATTTCGTTGTAAAAGGGCCCCGGGGTAATAACCTTTATCATAATCCCTTTGACTAGCCAGAGTGGAGACACTTTCCCTTCATTGTTCTTGTCTCCATACGTGTCGAAGAAATTAGACACATTGGCAGAGCCAGAGTTGCTCACCCCGCCATTGATGCCAGCAGTGATTCCGCCAGTGATGCCACCATTGATACCACCACTGCCGCCTTTGACATCATCCCATTTTCCTATCCCCTTGGAGGTGCTATCTTTACCGCCTCTTCTCATGCTATCGTCATATCTTTGGTCGGCATTCAAATTGTGGGAAACCGGTCCTGTTTCGTACTGTCCATTGACGAATTCTTCCGCCGTGTTGTTCTTTCTGGTGACACTTTTCTTGCCATCCTCATTCACTCCTTCTTCCCTGCTATGTGATTCGTTAAAATTCATCGGATCAGTTGCTCGCCCATTGTGATGATTGTAGTTATAACTGGTGTTACCGTTTGGGTGATTTTCGTGTGACGTCCGGATCCATTTTCCTTCGAAGCTTTTCTGGTCATGGGGACGAAGCGAATCGTTCTCCACTCGAAAGCCCCCGCCGCTTTCATTCCTGCTGTGCGGCAATGGAGGGGGCGGGGGCTGGAGGCTGCTATTCGTTCCTTTCCACCTGTTCGGTTGGTTCCACGGCGCGGCGTTAGCGGCATTTGTGGCATCTGTACCATTTGCACCATGTGCAACGCCCGCGACTGGATCGTGGCCGGGGGCGTCCCCCCCAGGCGGGGGGTGACTTCCCTTCCAGGGTTCCTCATCGCAGTTGCCCCTGTACGAGCCGCCGTACGAGCCCCTGTGCCCATCGTTCCTGCCCCCTAACTCGTTTCTGCGCCAGTCGGCGCCCTTCCTCGCGCTTTCGCCGTAGAGCGACGACTCGTACCCGGTGCGGTCGTGTCTGGGGCTTCTGTCACTCCTGTTTCTCCACCTCGGGGACGTATCCATCCCTTCCCTTAGCCCGAGTGCCCCCCCTAGACCGTTGTTACCCGCCCGTTCGTTGTAATGATCCCTGAAGGAGTCGGCAATGGCGCATTCGCTTCTTTTCTGCCTTATGGTCTTCGGCTTGATCTTCAAGAGGAGAGTGAACTCGTCCCGTTCGGCATCTATGACATCTCCGAGGAGGCCCTTATAAACGCCACTTAATATTTTCACCGTTTTTCCAATGAAGGACTGGTACGTATTATTCCGTCTGGGGAGCATCATACTGCTGTTCGTCCTGAAGAGGTTATTATAAGTGACAATTTTTTTCTTTTCATTTTGGTTCCCCGTGAGGATGCAGTTCTCATTGTCCAGGACGACAAACCCGTTGTCCTCAATCTTCTTGTTAATTTTAGCAAACACTTTATTCTTCCAGATATAGTTCACCACGGCAATTTTATTTTTGTGAATCCCTCGGACGACCTGTATGACATCTTTGGCCTGGATAATATTTCCATTCTCATCTTTGCACACTTGGCCCACCGCTGATCGTTTGGATGTGATGGTTCCAATGGTAGTGTGCAGAGTTGTGTTATGGCTTGTTAGGACACGAATGTGTTTATTCTTGTCGATGTATGTTAGTATGCCAATCTGCCTATCACTAAGTTCTATTAGGTCCCCGATGGAGAAGCCGTTAAGGGAGTTTATTCCACCGAGCCCTTCACTGGTGCTATGCTGACAGGCAGAGAGGTCTTGGATGGAAGAACGAAATTCGGTATTCAAAGAAGGAGAAAAGATAAGTGCAACATTTTCTTTATAATCGAGTAAAGAGATTAGTCCACTCTTCCCTTTATGAATTCCATTAATAACCGTCACGTTATCCCCCTCGAGGAAATACTTTGTCACATCACTTGGGAGGAACTTAAAATTTTTAGCCAAATTATCCGGGTTGATTGTTAACACATTATCACTCACATTTGATATGGTCCCTATGAGGTTATACAATTCTCCCTTCATGATTTTCACCCTCTCCCCCTTCTTAAACAGGTGTAGCGAGTTTTTATTAATAAAAGATTTGGTCACGTGGAGGTTAATGTCCTCCTCGTTGGTGTTATTTTTATTGAAGTCTCGAATTTCCGTCAAGGTAATGTTAGCATTTTCGGATAGGAGATATTTTATGTTCATTTTTTTTAACAGATATCCATTTTCTTCAAAAATATTGTTTTGATATTTTATCGTTCTTGGGTAAGGTCCATGTTCAATGACGCCTCCTATTTGTTCGATTTCGTCTCTATCAAATAGCTTTTTTAATGGTCTCTCTTTTTTTTTCTTCCTCTTAATTTGTAGCGCTTCGTCTAACATTTCGAGATGGTCATTTGGTGTTGGGGCACTTCTGCCATCTCCCACCCCCCCTGTGGGGATAATAGCCCTGCCGTGATTACTCAAATCGAACTTATCCGCCAAGTAGTACGACTCACTCTTCCCATTGTGTTCATCGAACGTGGATGAGCGTCCCTTACTCATGGAGGCAGTCAAACTTAAGCGGTAGTTTCCCTTCTTAAAATGGTTATACTTATCATACTGGATTCTTGGGATTAACCTAACGATGGCATAAATGCCCTTCTCGTGCACCTCAAATATCTGGCCTATATCATTCATGTAGACACCTCTCTTAATTCGCACATATTCATTTACCTTTGGGATGATAACTTTGGAGTGGCACATGGAAAAAATGGACGTTAGCTCCTGCACTGGTACAATGGTAATTTCATTTAGGTTAATAAATTTGAACCCAAAGAGGAACCTTTTTAACATATACAGGCTATCCGCCTCGACATAGATGTATCCTTTGAGATTGTCCGAGACGTACACCCCCTTAATGTTAAAATCGTTGTCTTTTAATTTCATATACTTGTAGTAAATTCCCATGGCTATATTTCTTTCCACTCCATTTTTGAACAATTTTATTAGCCACATTTTGGGGCTGTCAAATGTGGTCAGGCCTTCTCCTTCGTCGAAGTACTCGTCCTCATCTCCGGATATGTCCTCATCGGTTAGTGTCTCCCCATCCGTAAGGCTATCTTTTATTTCCTTCTCATTTTCGTACCGTTGCGATAGCTTGTTAATCGTCTGCGCTAGGTGATTCGTCCCACTCTTCATCTTCGTTTCGTACATTTTTTTCTTCTCCAACTTCTTCGCTTCTTCGTACTCTTCTACGTAGGAGCTGGCGTATTCTTCCTCCTCCTCATCGTCGCCCACTTGTGCCTCTGTGTCCAGAAAGGTTGACAGGTACCTCTTCTTTGACAGCTTCCTTTTCTTCAGCCCATTCCCCCCCTTGCGGCTTGCCTTTCTTTCTCTGTATTCCGCGTCTCCATCGTCGTCATCTCCGTCGCCTTCATCATCGTCCCCTTCATCATCGTCCCCTTCGTCTTCTTCTTCTTCATCATCATAATCATCCTCCTCCGCTTCGTTATCCACGTACGGAGTGGTATGGTTTTGCGCCTTTTTCCGTTTCTTGCGCGCTCCCCCTTTGATGGGGTCGTCATCAGCATGGTCATCAACATCGTCATCAGCGCCAGCCACAGTTTGCTCCTCCTCACGTCCCCCTTTGCGGGGGGAGCTTTCGCCTCCCTTTACTTCCTCCTCATCGTCATCGTTGAACAGTTCGTTTCCCTGAATGCTTGACTCGCTCATGTTGTTCCCCCGAGTGGAGCAGAAGGGAAAGCATGGGAAAGCAAAGCAAGGCAGTTGGGGTACGGTCCTCTGCTTGCTCACCGTTTTCCTTCCGGCCCGCTTTCAAAAATAGGTAGCCCTTTTCCCCCTTGCACTGTAAATATATGTACGTACGCTACGTTCTTCTCGTAAGGTCGCATACGGGGGGTGGCCGCCTAAATACGCTCCCGAAGCAGATCTGCAACGGGCTGTGTTATGTTTACCTTTTCGGAGGGGGCGCTCAAACTATGCAAACGAGTCAAAAGAATAAAAAGGGAACCTTAAAAAATTGCGCCTTTCCACGTTTGCAGAAGGTTCACGTGGCGAAGTTGCAAACGGGGAAGCAGTCAACTGGGTAGGCAGTTACGTGGGAAAATAATCACATAGGCCCGAAAAGGCGCAGCTTGGCAGGCACGAAATTGCGACGGAGGTGAATGCCAACATGGGCAATTTTCAACGAATGCGCAAATGGGCAAACGTCGCAAAGAAGTTGCGAATTTGCTGCGAGCTTACTGCGCCAACTTGGCCAATTTCGCGAAAAAAACGCCTTCAGCGCATGGCATATCACATGTAAAATTGTATACGCATATGTATTAATGCATATCTGCCCGTATATAAGGCCGAACGAATTGCATGCCAGGAGGTCCTCATCTCTGTTGCGCTCAATTTCTAGTCCAATGGAGCATATCATTTTTTTATTGCGGCGTTATGCCTTTTCTTAAAAAAAAAAAAAGAAAAAAAAAATCGGTTTAAATTTATCATTTTTTTTTCTCCCATTTTGTAACCCCTCATTTTTTATGCAACGTTTTTTATTTTTACTTTATTTTATCTTATTTTTTATTTTATTTTTTATTTCTTTTCTCTCCAGAGCGCGGGAAAACGAAGCAGCCCTTTGTTTTCTAAAAACGGGGGAGTCACAAAATGCGGTGTTTTTTTTTTGCAAGCCGTTTCACAAAGGGGGAATTGGTAACCCGGTGTGCGTCTAGTCACTTGTACACGATGGCCACATGTTGGTGTACGGGCTTATACAGGTGGATGCCCCGTGGTAAAGGTAACTCTCGTGTGACCGCATCGTGTGACAACACGCGGTGGAGCGTCCGGTACACATTGTCACCCCTTTCGGCCGTCTGATTGGACATAAAAAATACTTAAGGGACACGATAGTCTTAACAACATTTTTGCATCGCATTTAAAAAATTAAAAGATAAAAATTAAGGGTAATCATTAATGGGGGGAAATAAACCCCTGTGCGTTCTTCCCCATCCACACTGAGTGTTCCTTTGCCGAAAAAAGTGCCATAAAGGTTATAGCCGTGTGCGTATTTGGTTTCCTTACTGGAGTTGCGAAGTGGGCATCCCAACTGGGCCTTTACGCCAGGTACGTAAGTGAGGACGCACGGAAAAACGTTTATCCCTGGTGATACACCCCGACATGATCCCCCGTGTATGGCGTAACAGACGCGCAACTCAGATAGACAGAACAGCTTTGCCATGCAGAAGGGGCAAATACAAAAGTGTAGACCTGACTGTGCAGCTGCATGGCGGTGATGCTTCTTCCACATAATAACGTCATTTTTGTAACCCCTTCTCCATTGCAAGAGAAAAAAAGAAATATTTATTTCCTTTCGAATTTTCCCCTACCTTTATGCCTGGAGTTTATATAAGAAATGAAAAAAAAATAAAATAAAATACAAAAACGCTAATACGCTGCCACAGTAAAGTGTTAATTAAAAAATGGACCCTATTAAGAATATGAATAAGTTCGGTATTCTAATTCGAGGTAAGGAGGGGTTTTAAAAGCAGCACAAAAAAAAGGGGGGGAAGGGAAACGCGGGGAGCAAACATTTGGGGAGAACGCACATTTAAGGGAGGCGCTTTCAGCACAGTGCTTAGCAGCTCGGGGGGGGGAAATAAATAAATGCGAACCACGCGTTTGTCAAAGAAAAAACAAAGGGAAAACATGCATCAAGTGGTAGGTATGCGAATTGTTCAGGCACATACAATTCGACATGGAGGCGAACTTCGTGTGCATATAAGAATGGATACCGATGTCATGCATGCGCAAATAAACGGATAGTGGTGAGAGGTACGAAATTGTTTCGATGCATGCAGAACTGGGCGCATTGGTGATACCCCGAATGAGCCGTCCTAAATGGATGCTCTATTCGATTCCTTCAAACTGCAAGCAACGCGATGTTCCATGGGTCCCGTCCCGTCCGGTTCACATGGGCGCACCTCCCCTGAATGCTTAACCCAGTCCTCGGCGCAGATAGAACTATAAGCCAATCTCCTTATACTTATACTTTATGATTTTCTGAAAGAGCAACAGCAGGACGATAAACAGTATAGGGATGTAATACGTCTGCTTCACATCACTGGAGGATAGCATGCTGATGGTCTGGCCCACGGAAACTACAAAAAAGAAAGAAGAAATGGATAGCGGAACGTTATGATGGTACACAGGTTGGACACACAAGTGGGAAACACATGCGGGAGAACCGGGTTGATAGGCACAGATAGGCAAATCGAACACATGTGCCAAACGTGACACAAACACACGCGTATGTAGCCGAGCGAGGGATACACAAACCCAAGAGGGTCATCTGTATATGTAGGGGCAAAGCATGCATATATGTGTATACACACACTGACATGCAGACAGCCAATTTGGCACAAGTGCACACTTACCCAGGATAATGGTATTCGGCATGAGCCCTATGTACGTGGCCAACGAAAAGGGGATCGCAGGAAGGGACAGAGACGGTACCAAAATATTTATCAACACATTGGGAAATACAGGACTTAACCTTAAAATGGCAATGTAAAAAAACAAATCAAGTTTACTATTAACTCTCTTCTTTATCTGCTGATCAAATTTAGTAAGTGGCTTGCTAAAGAAATATTCTATCACAGTACGTCCATAGTACCTAAAAATAAAGTACGTCACCAGGGGAGAAATCGTGGAGAGTAGGGAACAATAAAATATGGAGAAAGCATAATTGTAAAAGGCCCCAATCAGTATAGTTATTATACTACCCGTCCCTGTCATCCACCATAAAAATAAGGGGAAGGCTTGATAAAAAGTATATATTAATGAGAGCAATATGAGTAATATAAAGCCATGTTCATTTTTGTAGGAAATTAAAGAGTCATATAGAATTTTAATTTTCCCTTTGCTGTTTAATGTTATGAGATCTTTAAAATTTTTTGGAATCAGCGTTTTTAGTTTCTGCTTGCTTTCTATGTTTAGGCCTACATGGAGGGGGGCGGTTGGGAACAAAAAATAAAATAAAATAAAAAGAAAAAAAAAGAAGACTGTTTCGTGAGGTGTTTGAGCTCAAGTGTTACTCCTTATAATGGTTACACTTCTGAACAAATGGAGGTGTAGGCTCCCGTGATGCGGTTTCTCACGCATGCGTGCGCGTATAGGCGTGTGTGTGTGTGTCTGTCCCTCTCTGCGCATCGCTTAACGCCGAGGCGGTGAACCCTTCCCCTCATTTGACTCACCCGGAATGAGATAAATATATATCGTAATCACCACTACGAAAGATACGAATGTTAAGGAGAGGTAAACCAGGTGTAACTTCAGTTCTTTGTTTTTTACTTTTGGGATGAATAATATATCAGTGTCGTCTGTCACATTTTGTGTTTCGTCCTTTTTCATCTTTGCGACTTGGATGGTCTAGTTAAAATTGCCTGTACGTTAATGCGATGCTGTAGGTGTGTGCGATGGGCACGGGCGGCGCGGAAGCAAGAGAGCACTACGGCACATAGGCACGTATACGCATATTATATACTCAGGCCTCTCATTTTATGCGTGTACGAAGATATAATCTCGTCCGCTGGTATGCGCACTTCAGCAGATATTGGCACAAGCACGCGAACTCCCACCTGTGAGCCCTCCCTCTCCCTTGGACCTTCCGCGCGGTTCCCCTCTTCTTTTCCTCTTCCTTTTATGGCCAGTCATGTACTTGCGCGACGCGGCCTTGTCCCATAAAATAATCACGTAAATCTTTCAAGTGAAGCAAGGTAAAAATATGCAGTTAAATAATTCGCTTAGCTGCTTTTATAAGGCATTTTCAATTTTTATCAGCTTGTAATGCAGAGAACTTCTTTTTTGCATATCATATGCAGGCAAATGTGCTTCGCTTAGTTAGCATATTATGTGAGTATCCTGTATATTGAGTAATTTTTTTTTTCTTTTTTTTTGCGCAAAATATTTTTTTTTCTTATGCCTTTCCAAAGTGTTGTGAGGTTACTAAGAAACCTGTGCGGCGCTGGTGCCAGTACAACAAAGGAATGAAAAAGTAGTGAAGGGCTACTTGTGCGGGTGCCATGAAAAAGTTGCATAATAATTTTTCGTCCCGGCAGCAACCCTGTTTTTTTTTTTGTTTTTTCGTTTTTGTGTTTTGCATTTTGGAATTTTTTTCCCTCCTCACCCCATTCATGGTGCCGCCATCTCACGCCTACTTCTCGTCTAGGTTAATCCTTGCTCCAGTTTGGGAGCATTGGACAATGGCACATGTTCGATCAAGCGGTGGTCTTTCCTAAGAGGAAGTTTGGCCCCTTTGCATTCCCTGGGATTTGGGGTCACTAAATTGTTGGGCGTGTGTCTGTGTATATGTCTGCATTCGCTCAGGTGTATATATTGGCCTGCCTTTTCCATTTTATATTTTTGTCTTCTCCCCCCACGCATGTCAACTGGTTTAGGCGACCATCTGTAGCTAGAAGGATTTGCATTTCTTGCGTGCATACGTACATTATGCTATATTGTACGTTTCTGTGTGTGTGTTCCTTTTTAAGCGATAAAGGCGTACTGCGACGCTTAATTACTGCCGAAGTGGGTCTCTTCCCATGGTTAGGCCTTTTTTCCCTTCCAAAAAATGGAACATGCTGCGCAATAGGATTGATGTCCTGGGTTATCCGCAGTTGTAGCTTAACATTATTAAAATTCAGAACGTTTTATTATTATTTTATTTTTTT